GTGGACTTAGAAGAGGAAGAAGAAGAACTCTCTCTCTCTCTGTGTCCAGTACTAACCTGTGAAGTTGGCGCCTTGATGTAGGTACCGCGAAGATGGAGCTGGAGCGATGGCGCCACAGGTAAGTAACACTGGCCTCCGCTAGTCTCTCTCCCACTCTGCGATCTACTACCTACCAGCGCCCATCGCTGAAGACTACAGCTACAGCTATGGCGCCCAACGTCAAAGGCTACAGCTAGCGCTACCACTACTGCCTAGCGCTGAAGACTACTGCAGCGCTCCTCCTGAGTGCTGCGGCCGAATCCTGAAGACTACCTCTGCCTACTGCCCACCTCCTGCAGGGCGGGCCACTCCTTTATAGTGCTGGCCTGTGCAGGATGCCGGCCGTGCCAATGCCTCCCTGGCCTAGACCCTGCGGAAGCTTCCAGGCAAGAGCCTGGAAGTTCCCTGGAGTTTGTCAGAAGGAAACTTCCAGGCAAGAGTCTGGAAGTTTCCCTGTAGGGAAACAGGCTGGGGCCTGTAGGCCCTGTCAGAAGGAAGCTTCCAGGCAAGAGCGTGGAAGTTTCCCTGTAGGGAAACAGGCTGGAGGTCCGGGACGGGCCCTGCAGGGCCTGTGTGGCTGCACAGTATGCCACACCCCCCCCTCCTTGAAAGATCGAGCTTACCTACGAGGGCGAAGCTGTCTGTCTGAGGGAGGGACCACAGTCCGGGTGGGAGGGGCAGGTCGTGGAGGTCCCTTGGCTAAGCTCTGTCGCTCGTAGTGTGCGTAGATCAGCGGTGCAGACGCTTTCAAATCTACTCCTGAAATCCACCGAGTGTCGTCGGGATCGCATGCTCTGAATGTAACTTTGTACTGGTGCGGCTTGCTGCCATACTTGCAATCTGAGATGACGTGGTCAACCTCCTGATGACCATCCATAGAAGGAGGGTCCTGCGATCGTCGGCCCGGGAAGTCATCGCTCTTAGTTGGTGTATATGTTGCCAGCTTTGACGCATGAAAGACTGGATGGACCGTCAGATGCTCAGGAATGTCGATCACAAATGAAGGGCCATCGGGCTCATCGCCCGCAGCTGATGTCACTGTCCATGGTCCTAACCACTTAGGGAGTAGTTTGCGTGAGACATCCTGTTCCAATGCAAACTCTTCCGAGGAGACCCAAACTCGATCTCCGGCGCGGATGGGACATGGTACGCGRCGCCTGTTGGCTTGCTGCTGCATGCGGACTTGAGCCTTTTGCATGTTTGTGCGGGCTTGAGCCAGCAATTCCCTGTACTTCCGGACGGAAGCGGGAGAGCAAGCGGCGTCCATGTCGGCTGGTCGAGGGAGGAGAAGATTAGCGAAGATACGGCCTTTCCGTCCACCGTGGTGCAACTCGAATGGAGTCACACCGATCGCCACGTGCACTGAAGTGTTGTAGGCGAACTCGATGTCGGGGAGGCGGTCAACCCAATCCTTCTGGTCCGGACGGATGAGCGTACGAAGCATCATTTGAGCGGTCTGATGTGCCCGCTCCGTTTGCCCGTCTGTCTGTGGATGCCGAGCTGAACTGGGTTTCATCGTCGTGTCGGACTCCTGCATGAGAGAGGTACAAAAAGTCGACATGAAACGAGTGTCACGGTCGCTGATTATGTCCTCGGGTACGCCGTGACCACAAATCCAACCGGTGTGCAAGAGGCGTGCCAGCTCGGGAGCCGTGGAGTAGTACTTGCAAGGAAGGAAACGTGCGTACTTGCTCAATCGGTCCACAACCGTGAGGATGCCGTCGTGCCCGAGCTGGTCTCGAGGAAATGGATTGGTGACATCCATAGCAATGGAGATACCGGGTTCCCGGGGGATAGGCATCGGGCGTAACTCGCCATAGGGATTGCGGTTGCGGGGTTTGCTGCGTCGGCAAACTTCGCAAGAATCGCAATACCGCATGACATCGGAAATGAGGTCGGGCCATCGGAATTGTTGTCGAAGCCGTGCAATCGTGCGATTGACTCCGAAATGGCCGGCGAGTCGCGAATCATGATACTCGCCGAGAAGGCGAGTCCGAAGACGGCGGTCGCGTGGGACACACAGTAAGTCCTTGCCTCTCGAGTGGAGGAGCAAGTACCCGTCGGCAATGCGATAGTGGCTGGCCGACCGGTGATCCGAAGATAGCTGCGCATACAACGTAGCAAACTCTGGGTCAGACTGATAGCCCCTGATGAAGTGTTGCTAGAGGTCCTCGTCGAACGCGAAGGCGTGATGCGTTATAGCGCAAAGATCAGGTCGTCGCGAAAGTGCGTCTGCTGCGCGATTGGAGAGGCCGTCAACGTGTTTCGGTGTGAAGTCAAACTGGTCGATGAAGTACATCCACCGTCCAATCGTGCTGCTCACCATGTCCTGCGTCTTGTAGTAGGTCAATGGGTTATTGTCCGTGACCCATGTGAACCTACGACGCCCAAGAAGGAAGTGCCGCCATCGCTTGAGAGCCATGACGAACGCAAGCAGCTCCTTCCTTGCATCATCCAGAGAATTGATGGGAGACACTTTGTGGCTGAAACACTCCACAGGGTGCCAATCCTCGCCGTCGTGCTGCTCCAAGACTGCCCCAATGCCGTAACCGGAAGCGTCAGTCGTCACTCTCGTAGGCAGAGTGGGGTCGTAGATGCTAAGGACGGTTCATGAGCATGGCCGTCTTGAGTGCTTGGAAAGCCTGGCGCGCGTCGTCATCGAATATGAATGGCACCTTTGGTGATTGTAGTCTCGTCAGAGGTGCGACAATCCTTGAGTATCCGGTGATGAAACGCTGATGATAGCCTGCCAACCCCATGAATGAACGAACGTCCGTGGTGTTGGTGGGCTCGGGCCATACGCGGATGGCCTCGATCTTGTCCGCAAGCGGACGGATGCCTTGCGGCGTCATATAGTGTCCCAAGTACTCCAGCTCCTGCTGTGCGAACTCGC